GGGGGGGGGGGGGGGGATACGCAAGTTCCAAGAGCGATTTCCATAAACTGATAAACACGTCCGTGCCCTCCCGATACAGGGTGCTCGACAATTGCCAGAGGCGCGACGCCGGAAGGGAGGGGGTACGCAGCGGGGATATTCATTTAAACTGATTACAGCTACGTCCGTGTCGTCCAGATACAGGCGGCTCCAAGAATGGTCAGAGGAGGAGGTAGGGGGGTACGTAAGTACCAGAGCGATGTCATGAACTAACTACTAAGCCCGTGTCCTCCCGACAGAGGAAGCTCTTACAATAGACAGAGCCGGGATACCGGAGGGGGGGGAGACTCGAAGTGCCAGATCGATGCCGATCATGTAAGTGACCCCGGCTATGCCCCAGAAAGGTACACACCATCAACTGGCGTAACGAAAAGGTACAGAGGGCACGTGGTGTTCATAGTGTTCGGATACAAGCGGTGCCGCGGCTCCACACGCAGAGTGACACCAGCACACTCACGGGGTCCCATCTCATGACCTTTCCAAGGATGAATATTATGTTTTCAACCGCACTGAGACTGGCGTCTTTTCGTTAGCCAGCCAGTTGGCGCGGTCGACCCTAATTCAAAACACACACACACACACACACACACACATACCTGCACGTGCGCGATGAAGACCCCCTCGGAAGGGAAAGTACCACCCGCGATGATGGCGCCGACAACGCCCAACACGAGCCACGGCCAGTCTCCCTTGTTGAGCGACCACATGCGGCCCCTTGGTTGGCGAGCAGACCAGAAGCAGAGGTAGGTCCAGAGAGCGAGAGGCGTCGACATCCGTTCGTTAGCGATTAATTGTTCATGGCCCAGGTGACTACAAATGTCGAGGGGCCTGCCCTACTCCCGCCTGCATGGAATCCACCGTAGTCGGCGGGTCGCGCGCGTGCAAACACTTCGCTCACATGAATCGGGCACACACATGCATACCGTAGGACATGACGTAAGATATCACACGCCTCTGTACCAATCTACAACGCTCGCTTACTCCATGACGAAGAGGATGCGTAACCCAAACGAAAGGCTTTAGGAAAGCTCTCCATGCGACGGTTCCAGCGCCGCCATCGTCGGCGCCGCTACTCATTTTGCTGCAGAGAAAGCAAGCTCTGAATATCGGTCCAGGGGGGGTGGTATCTTACGTCGGGGTGTTGTATCTTACGTCACCGTCGGTACCAACGCCGGACAACTTAGCAGTACTGCTGTACCTGGGCTGGACAACGTTGCGGAGGAAATGAGCGTTAATAATCGGTCTACGGGGGGGGGCGCCATTTGTCCGCCTCTTACGGAATACCACGGTACGGTACACGGTACGGTACAGACAAGCTTGGTTGTGGAGACATCGAGTTGTGAAAGGGGGGGGGTGCCATCTCTCGGCCTCTTACGGCAATCGCTAGCGTTAGGTGGAGTGAGGCGGAACTCGGCCACCCACATACATACCAACACCGACGTCTCTGTGTCCGACAAGTGCAGGGCGGTCACTGCTCTCGGCGTGCGCTCACGACACTCACGCGAAGACTACATACGACTGTTTTCTGCCATGTCATGCGCAGCAGCTGAGGGAGTCTTCCTTCATCACGACACGACAAGTAAGTGCGTAAACGTGTATGACACTCGCCCACGCGAAAAAAAAAGATAACTGCGACTGTTTCTGCCATGTTAGCAACTGAGGGAGTCTTCACTCATGACGACTCGACAAGTGCGTAACGCACTGGAAATCTGAAACGCAACATGTCGTCCATAGCGAAGACTTCAACCCATTCCCTTCGAACAACGGTATGGTTTTATCTCGAACGGTTGTCGTAGTATGTCTTTGCACAAAAAAAAAACAGTGGCATCCTGCACCTGGGAGGCTTGGGGAGCTTCTCTTCGTCCACCTTGGCGTCCTTCTTGCCAGCCGAAGCCGAGAGGTCGATCTCGTGGCCGGCTTTGACGTTGGAGCTCTGGCGGCGCAGCAAGGCGTCGCTGCCGCTCGCCTCCCTCGCCACCTTCGCGCCTGTGTAGAGGGTGTATAAGTTTGTTGTTGCTTGGTACAGCGGCATTCGATAATGAACACTACGAGCACCCGCAAATGCGGGAACTGCAATTCGGGGAGATGTACTCTTAAAGCTAAGAATGTACTCTTAGAAGTAGATGTTGTAGCGATGTTGGCGTCCGCTAACATCAACCGGTGTTGAAAAACTGTCTTGTGAACTTCTCAAAGTACATGGCATGAACTTGAAGGCGTTACGGCGGCTAGTGAGGGACGAAACCGACCGTTTCGGACAAGCGTGGTCCTTCCCGCACCCGACGAGGCGTGTCGGCCTATCTATCCCGAGAAAGGGACAAAAGGACGGTGAGAGGTTTGCACGTGACGCATATTTCCTAGCATAAAAAGGAAGAACGCAAGTGGTAGATGCTTCTCACCTGAGAAGCTCTTCTGCCGGGCCAAGCGAGCTTGCTTGTCTGCTTCGATCTCCTCCTCAGTCTTGCCGCCCTGATGAGTAAGGATTACAGCGGCACGATACCATCAAAGCAAGCAAAGCGAGCGGGATAAGTACATATGATGAGCATCACAAAGGAAAAAAACTGCCATCCTTGATGCCGGCATCGGTTGTTCATTTCCTTCCCGCAGCACACAGCCTTCCCGCAGCATACAGCAGCAACAACGGCTTGTGGTCATGATTGACCAGAGCGACCAACAACGGAGCTGCCACCTTGTCGCGGGCACGTCTGTAATATTGATTTGACCAGATGGTTTATGGTTTGTTGGTTGACTGCCACACGAGGCTTGGAAGAACCACACTCCGCACGTGCTATCAAGGAGCACGGGTAACCCAAGTGCACTAGCGTTTTCCACGCAACGTTTAGCCCCTCTTCCCCCTACCTGACTAGTGCACAGCATGTGGTAGATTCCTTTGAGGGCGAGGAGCTCGGAATGAGTACCCAGCTCCACGACGCCCTTGTCAATAACGGCGATCTTGTCGGCGCCTCGGATGGTGGATAGACGGTGGGCGATGGTCACCGTCGTGCGAGGCTTGTCCTTGTGGAGCTCGTCCAGGGCGGCTTGCACCACCTGTCACGTAAAAAAAAAAGACTTGTGGTTGTTTGGGTCCAGGCTCTCAAGGCATTTGAAAAAGACAAAGAACAAGGTCACGGAATGTACAGAATACGGTCGAGCCCCTTCTCTGCCGTGTGGCTTGTGTATTGTCTACTCGTTTCGACTGGCGTACGCAGCGCGTCCAGCGGCGTCGCTCTCACCACGGCATCAAGACTTACGGGCATAGAGGAAGCAAACGACGAAAGTCCTGCAAGGCAAGCCTGTATCGCGCTGCCATTTGCAAACAACGACAGCGACGACAATAACAACAACGACAACAACAACAGGTAGCGAGATCGTAAAAACGACGAGATATTCATGCCGTGGTTCACCAGCATCAACCCCAATGGTGCGACCTAAGCTCACCTTCTCGCTGTCGGAGTCGAGCGCGGACGTGGCCTCGTCGAGGAGCAAGATGGCCGGGTGGAACTACTAGCGTGCCCGCTACCGCTACGCGACGAAGACCGGAGGCGACAGCTGGAATCCTCCCTCGCCGACTCCTGTGTTGTAGCCCTCCGGAAAGCTCTGCCATGATCGAGACGGACGACGTCATGAGCCATGCGGGTTAATTGGTCGAGTGTACGAAGACAGTGACCAGCTGTGGTTGTAGGTTGAATGAGAGTGGTCACTGCGCAAGAGCTGGTAAGCTCTGCGACAGCGACAACGTCATCACCTATGCGGGTCAATAGTAAGGGTGGTTGATCCCTGTACAAGACTCGGCAAACTCTGCGATCGAAACAGACAACGTCACAAAGCCATGCGAGTCAATCGATATTGAGCGTGATACGCGAGTCAATGGTATTTAGTGGTAGTTGATCCCTGTATAAAAGCCGGTGAGCTCTGCGAGACGTTTTAAGCCATGCGGGATAATGGTGGTGGTTGATCCCTGTATGAAAGCCGGTAAGCTCTGCGAGACGCCATAAGCCACGCGGGTGGATCGATCGATCGGGTGTAAGAAGCGAGTTGCAGCAATGGACCCTATCAAGGGAGTAGTGGTCCCTATATAAGAATGGTCCTTGAATAACGCTATGAATTCGCGTGGCACATATGGAGGGAATGCTCACGTTGTCTCATACTCGTGCAAGGCTGCGAAGATACGGCCGGTAACCCTGGAGAAGGTCGCCAAACCGCTTCACACAGACGAAACATATTCAATTTGACTCATGCTCAGAATCGTAGATTTCAGTAATTTTCTTAACTGTTCAAAAACCCTTCAGTGCCGTTGCTCACTGTATACAAGCATGCGTCGAAAAAAACAACACACAAAAGCAGGCACGGTACGGATTTTTGACAACACAAGAAGGTGCATGGGCTACGAGGTACACGCACAACACGCGCAGACAACATGCGCAAAACGAACGGACCCGAACGCGCCACAGACCAGGGGTGCTCACCTTGATGAACTCGTGCGCGTTGGCGGCCTTAGCGGCGGTGATGACTGTCATGGCATTCCATACCATGCCATGCAACAGCAGCGGAACGAAGAGCCAAGACGGAGGAGAAGGCGGCGTGTCCGGACAATGGGGAAAAGAGCATGAGGAAGGAGACCAAGATGAGGAGGGAGAGGGGGAGAAAATTATTCAGTAGTGTACGCATCAAAATTGATTAAGCAAACATCTGGGGGTTAACTACTCAATCTGTGCTTTGGGGTTTGGGTTAGGGTTAGGGATAGGGTCTGCGTGCCCCCTCCCTATTACTTTTCTAGATACTCTTAAAATCCTGCGTAGGCGGTCCAAAAAATAAAGGAGATGGAAGAAGAGGAGCCGGACGTACGCTCGACGGGGCGAAAAACCACCCCGAAACGGCTTTCATTTTGATTGGCATGTGTCAAATTGTGCACAGGGCGAGGCATTGTTGTTGTTGTCTTAACATTGAAATAGGTATACGTTTACAAGAAACGCTCAGAGTCAACGGAGCGCGCTGCACCGCGGGAAAGAGGGCACACAAAAGACATAAACCTCTGTTAGGCTCAGCTACATTGTGGTGTGTATCATGGCTATCGCCGACATTCAGTGTATCTCTCAAGGCCGACTGCTGCTGTGGTAGACCATCAGCGTGGGTAGCAACGTTGACATCCAGACCACAACGACACCGGGGTTTCAAACAGACAAGGTTGGGAGGGGAGCGATACAAAACGCTTTCCGAGGGACGAGAGGCAAGGGTGGACACATACAACGAGACATTTACCTCCAAAGGCACAGGACAAAGCTTGACATCAAGGGGTCGTTCCTTAGGAATGAGACGGGAATGCATCAAAGAATCGGACGGCAACAAAAATGAAGAGAGAGAGGAGGTGATGGAGGTACTGTCTCACTTTCATCCTGCGTGGCCCCCAGCTTGCCGTTGGCAATGTTGAGCGCGATCGTTCCGGCGAATAGCACCGGCTCTTGCCCGACGTAGCCGATCTGGCACAATCAATGCACACGCACATGTAGGTCGGAAAAAAATACAAACGTGAACGAGGACGTTGGAGGAAGAACGCTTGAGAAACAAACGACAACATCAACAATCACCAACGAAGACTGGAACGGAAGGGAGAACAAAAGTCCAAGATCCGTCCCCATCACACCTCTAATCTACCACTCTGCCCTACCCTAGTATACTAGTGTTCCGTTAACGCTATGAATTCATCGATATTATATCCGAGCAATAGACCCTTATCAACGGATAGAGATGGGAGTTGTGATAGACAACATCTTGGCAAAGTACCCACCAGTGTAATAACGCACCTGCTGCCTATACCAGGCGACGTTGAGAGACTTGATGTCTGTGCCGTCGAGAGTCACGGTACCCGAGGTGGGGTCGTAAAATCGCAGTAGCAGCTTGGTCATGGTGGACTTTCCTCCGCCGGAAGGCCCGACTAGGGCGAGGGTCTTGCCGACTGCTACCTCCAGGCTGAGGGAGCCGTACACCACGTCGTTCGGCCGGGCAGGCTGTGAGGGGCGGTTGCCCGTTTTGGTTCCGGCAGAGGGTCAGAAGAGCAGCAAGACAGGGGAGGGTGACAAGAGAGAAAACATAAACGTGTGCGTGGGAGAGTTAGAGAGACTTAGAGAGAGAGAAAGACAGACAGACAGATGGAGA